TATAATGTTGAGAAATAAGTTTTTAAAATATTGGAATAAACTTCATGTGTAAGATGTGAGAATCTTATATTTTAGAGAATCTGAATATTAGTCTGTGACTCTAATAAAAAATATAACTAGAATTAGGATTTTAACTTGAAAAGTGTAATATATTTCACCGCAAGCAATATCTATATGATCAGTAGAACTTCATTACTATGCAGTAATTTTTATTTATACTTATAAGAATTGATAAAGTGCTTAGAAGGTTTTGCTAATGAAGTTTGTGAGTCTGCCATCTTAAGCATTTAAAAAGCTTAAGAGAATTAGATGTTTGGTATTAAATTTGTAAACGTAGTTAAAAATATTTAACATAATTTATTAACAAAGTTTGTAAAAGGGGCTATTTAATCAACTGAATTTAATCTATTAAATCTATTTAATTTAGGTGAACTTAATCTTTTGAAATTTATTTTAATTAAATATCAAGAAACAAGTTGTAGACATCTGATGTACAACATCGTGTTTATAGTTAACAATACTGTATTACACACTTTAAAATTTGTTATGAGAGATCTCACGTTATCTGTTCTTACCACAATAAAAAAGAGAAAAAAAACAAGTTAAAATAGATTTTCAATTTTATACCAATTTACTGTGTTCAAAATAAAATATTTTGTATACTTTATATAAATATACAAAATTTATATATTTTTAAAATTAAACTTATAGATTTATGAAAACTAGGTTTTAAAGTTTTACCTTTAATACACTGAATAGCATTTAAACCCCAAGAAGTGGGAGAAATGAGAAACAATTACTCAAATGGCAATCAACTCTTTCTATATGTCAAACACTAATGCTATGTGTCTATTTCTCTAAGCTAGAGTTTGGGGAGAGCTTATTTATACAGCAACTTAGTTTGCAATTACACATACAGTCATCCCTTGGTATCCACAAGGAATTGGTTCCAGGTTCCCCTAGTGAATACCAAAACCTGCAGATGCTCAAGTCCCTAATATAAAAATGGTATAATATTTGCATATAACCTATGTACATCCTCCAGTATGCTTTAAATCATCTCTAGATTACCTATAATACCTAAAACAATGTAAATTCAATGTAAGTAGTTGTTATTCTATATCGTTTAGGGAATAATGACAGGATAAAAAAGTCTGTACATGTTCAGTACAGACACAACTATTATAGGTCTAACTACACTGTACACATCAGCAACAATGTAACTTTTAAAAAATATTTTCCATCTGTGGTTGGTTGAACCCTTGGATGTAGAACCTGTGGATATGGAGGGTTGACTGTATGTTTTTGAAAAGGCTCTTTTAGAGGCAAAGTCCTTGAGTGCTTAGAAGCTATTCTCATTTTCCTCTTCATAAGGCTCATCATTATTCAGTTTTGTGAGATTAACATTTGCTTACAGGTTGATGTCTTTACTTCTTGACATCAGAGAGCAGCTTGGTAAACTGAAAGGAATGTTGAATTAATTACAGCAATTATAAGGAATTTTAGTCCTCTCTCTTAACAGTTTTGTGTCTCTGGGCCAATTACGTCAACCCATTTATTTCCTTATTAAAAAAAAATGTCATTTTTGGAGGTTCTTATCATAACAAATTATTTTTTTCAATAACGTGTTGAAAATTTAATCCTTATGACAGGCTATATTCAAAGAGAAATCAGTGATTCTGCTGTCAAGGAGTTAATAGACTTAATATTAGTAATGGAGTAAATAGACTGAGACCTAAATGATTGTGATACAGAGAAGCAAATGACACATTTTGTAATAATAACTAATTTTTTGAGTGCTTACTATGTGCTATTTACCATTCTAAAACCTGTCCCTCCATTGTCTTATATAAGCTTCCACAGATTCTGTAAAGTAGGTCTTACTATCCCCACTTTATGAGTGAGACAACTAAAGTACGGAGAGGGTAGTTTAAAGAGATGAGGAGAGCATGTAATAGTCAAAAGCTAGATGTAAACTCAAACCAATCTGAATCTATACCTTGGCCTCTTAACCACCATGCAATATGTCCTTTTGAGAGTGAAGTCTAAACTCCCTAGAATGGTATTCAAGGCCCCAGAGAAATAGCTCCAAAATGTATTTCCAAAACTATTTATAAATTACCCAGATGCCTCTCACTCCAGTGAAGCTAGTTCCATTAAATACTCAATGAAAATATTTTGTAAATTCTATATCACTGTCCCCATCTGGAAACTTTGCTTTCTACTACCAATTCGAGCCTTCTAATGGATAGCGAGCTCTACGTCCTCTGAAATATAATAACAGCTGATGTCTATACTACTTACCTGTCCCTTATGGCATGCTATTCTCATGTGGATGGTTAATTTTTAGTGTGGTTGTATCTTAATTCTTCAATCGAATTGTAAGTAACCTCAGAGCAAAAACAATGTCTTCAACTTCTTTGTGTTTTCCCAAGGCATGTCTTACACCCTGAATTGCAATTATCTCTGTATGTGTCTGGCTGGCTACCTCAGTAACTGACCATGTCTTTTTCATCTTCATGTTTTTAATGTGTGGCATAATATGTACAACATAAATAGGTTCAATGGATATTTGGTGGAAAAAAAAGAATGACTGAAAAATGAGTACTCAGCACACATTAGATACTCAATAGTTACTAGTTATTATTACTATAAGTCTCCAAATTTTACTCAAAAATAGAAAATAACCTATTTTAAAATCTGCTTGAATAAAACCCTCTAAAATTACAGTGACACAAATATATAAAAACTAAAGCTATAACAACCACTTAATTAGGCTGTTAGGATCACTGGTACTAAGCTTAGTTTCACTACCAAACAATATTTCATAGATCACATACTCACATCCTACTCAGAGAAAAAATAACCAAAAACATCTGCCTGTAACAACAGATTTCTAAGAATAGCAAGAAAATCTCAAAGACTGATCACATGACATCACTGTTAAAAGTGACGTTTAATAACATAAAAAACTCATACTACCTACAAAACTCTAGTTGTTTTCCGCCAAGACCGATATGTGTGCCACAGATGCCACAGTCACAATGATGCTTATAAGGTAGTACCTAATAATTACTTCCTCCCTGCCGTAACTTAGCCACTGAGACAAATACAGGTTTTTTTTTTTTCTGACACAAGAGCAGGTACCAGAATATAGTAGGATAATTATAATATCATCATAATTAATTGCAAGCGGAGATGTTTTTAATTACCAAGTGTTATTGGTTGAGTTATATCTCCCTAAAATACATGTGTTGTAATCCTAAACCCAAGTACTTTGAATATGACTATCTCTGGAGATATAATATTTAAAAAGGTAATTAAGTTAAATCATTAGGATGAGTTCTAATCCAAGATGACTGGTATCCTTAAGAAGAGAAAATTAAGATACAGATAAGTACAGAGGGAAGACCATGTGAAGACAGAGGGAGAAGATGGCATCTACAAGCAAAGGAGAGAGGCCTCAGAAGAAATCAAACCTGCAGATGCCTTGATCTCAAACTTCTAGTTTCCAGAATTGTGAGAAAATAAATTTCTGTTGTTTCAGCCACCCAGTCTGTGGTACTTTGCTACAGCAGACCTAGCACACTAATAGAGCAAGTACTTCTTCCTTTCTTAATTTATTAAAATCTAATTTAATACTCAGAAACAATCACGTATGGTAGTATTTCCCCATTTTATAGTTAGGGAAACCAACGTTTCAGAGATGTTAAATGATGTTTCTGTGATCACCCAGTGAGCAAGAACCAGGATGCAAGACTCAGACTAGAATCTCCTGCCTGAAATCCTGCTGACTTTTCACTCTCAGCAGGTGATGAGTGACAAGATACTTGAGTTTTGGTCCCAGAAATGCCCTAAACTGGTTGTGGAAACTTCAGAATCATTAATTTTTTAACATCTTTGTTTTATCATCTGAAAAATGAAGGGGTTGAACTAAGTATTTTAATGGCCGAATAGACTAAGGGTTTATATAAAAGCCTTTCCAGTTTTAAAAATTTAGCTCAAATCATTGTTTCCTAACTCCTAAATAAATTGTCTCTGTAAACTCATTTAGAATTGAAAGAAAATTCAATATTTGGGGAATCAATTACTATTTTGCCCACAGAAATTGTCTTACCAAAAAATACATATTTAAAAACGTTTTGAAATATTATGAACTTAACTCACTTAAAAAAGTAATTTTTATAGGATTTGCATCCCATTAGTTAATTTTTGTTTTTGAAGATTTCTCCATTCTGAGCTTTTAAAGACTGCACAGAGCTTCATGAACAAAACACAAGACTTTTTTTTTTTTTTTTTACAGAAAATCTTGAGTTCAGGTTTAAAATCTTTAGTGAATAATTTCATTATCTTGAGAGGAAAAAAAGTAGTTTCAGACCTTAGTTTCTAAGTCTGAGAAATAGTGTAAATGGCTTCCTGCATGCTTATAAAAAAGTTTGCCATTAAATGAAAGAATATCTGTAAAATACCTTTGAACTCTTTGGAGGGAAGTTGCTGTATTATATATTCAACTGCAAAGTAATAAAGACTCATAGTGTTAGGGTATCTTTTTTTCAATAACTTCCTCAGTTTTGGAATATTATGTGAGTGCTTGGTTTGTACATTGTTCATATCTATAGTAAATGTATATTTTATTTGCCAGGAAGAGGGAAGTTTACCATGGAAAATAATTTATACTATAATGGAAGATAGCAGGTTATATGACCCTAAGGGTTCAATTGTGAATCATCTCTTGTGTGTTTTTGAGTAAAGGCAGTCTATCCAAGGGGAGAAAAAAAAATCTACAAACCACATAGTCCATCCAATCACATAAAGACAAATCAACCTTCAGGCAAATCAAAAGTCTTCATTTAAAGCTTACCTGGATTTGGCATGCTGCCGATCTTGTCCAAATCCCTTAACAATATACTTCCACAAACAGTTAAAAACATGCATAATGAAAATCATACCCTTTGCAACGTTATTTTTAAAAACAAGAAAATCTTTATCCCAAAGGAGACAATCGCTTAGAAAAAGCAAAGTTCCTCTCTGAGTTTGCAACATGTAAATAGGGATTAGTGGGTGGGATTGCGGTGTGCTCCGGTGCATAAATAGAGGTTGGGCAGAGCTGGCACACTAGGAAACTTGGACGGCACAGAGGCCACCTGGCTCACACAGACAGGTGGGTGGGGAACTCCAGGTAAGATTCCTGACAATAGCGTTGGAGTGCTCAGAGTAAGCTTTGGCCTTTGATTACTGTGTAAAGTTGCAGGCAATCAACAGAGAAGTGAAAGGTAGTTTCAAGGGCACTTGAATGGGATTTGAAGAGAGAATAAATGAAAATTTCACCAAAGATTTACTGAGGCCTTTCTTTGGCCAGAGCTGGCAGAGTGCTCCGTTCCTGAGCTGGTTCAAGGTAATGATTTCTCCCTTGGGAAATAAGAGGTGTAAGAGTAGATGAACTCTACTTGTTTTTAAACCTGGGACAGGGCCCAGGGTCTTCTGTCACTGTGCACTGGTCACCCATGTAATGCTCCATTTCTCTCCTACTGCCTAAAGCAAGGCCCATAAGACTAGGAAACTTTAGTTCGGATTGCCTGCTTGGAACTGCAGTTCAGAATATTATTGCAAGTCAGAAAAACAGTTCTTCGCTATCTGGTGCAAAGATATTCTTGTTGCTCTTCAATCTTTAAATTCATGGGATAGAATATAAGAGGAGAGATCTGGGTGCTTTCCTGAAGCATTTATGAAATTTATGAATAGAAATACTGAAACCTGCAAGTTCATTCCTTGCCAAAGATAAGAGGACAGATAGAGCGACCAGTAAAAAGTGCAGGAAAGGGAGGGAGGGAGAAAGAGAGAAAGAGGTGGGGGGACGGAGAGAGGGAGAGAGGGGATGGGGGAGAGAGAGAGAGAGAGAGCGCGCGAGAGAGAAAGTTTGTGTGTCTAAATTGTCAATATCTTCCATTGTTAGCATTCTGTTTTGAGGTGGTTTAGGCAGGAAGTTTACAGAGCAGGGTCTATTATGAAAATTCGGTAGAATGAAATCTCAGAAAGTCA